CTTGCAGTGTTCAGTTATTAGAATTGTAAATGCCTTTTGGCCTCCCTGCGCCTCCACCAATCAGAAAAAAAAACTAAACAAAACGCAGTGCAGCACCAAAATGGCTGCCCTCCTCCATGGCTGCCCATGGAGAAGCCCTAAAAAATAAATAAATAAAAAAGGAATGTATGTGTGCCAGAGCAATGTGTCATTCCTGTAACAGTGTTGACTCACTCACAATCTGTGTGGGCAGCGCTCAAATAACAGTCTCCTCTGAGCAAATCTCCTCGGCTGATAACAGCGTCGTCCCTCATAACTTCAAAAACAGAAGTGCCGCTAACAAACGTCAGCTCGTGAGCCGGGCGGAGAGCGACTCCTTTCATCTTCTGATTACGCAAACGAGGCGAGCGCGGTGAGCGAATAGTTAGTCTGCGCTCTTTTGTACTTGCGACTTTACAGGCCTTCCCTGCGTGTCGTACGTCGACGTGTGCAGCTCTAATCACCACCACCGCGCACTCCTCTCAGCGTGTGCTTCGTCTCCCAATCTCAAACAGAGCTCTGAACGTTTCACCGACAGGCTAATCACTCTTCGGACAGCGGAGAGCCTACTTTTCTGGAAAAAAAATAAAGTGAAATAAAATGAAATGAGACCCGCCCTCAGGCAGATGGCCTTTCGGAACCTGTTTCACACTAAAACCTGACATTTAAAAAGGTGCCCTCACCCTGCTGCCTTCCTTTCACAAGAGAGCTGAAATCTCTGATACATGTGGGCTCTGGATGTTACACAGAGAACGTTACATAACCAGACCATTTGGGCTGCGAACTCTAATGGAATACAGCATCAAGCCTGCAGAAGCACTTCAAGACAAGCCAATTTCAGTGTGCCGTCCTTTACTTTTCTCTCTGAAGCTTCACACTCGTCTCGCTGTCTTCCCAGCGACATATGGAGAAATAGAAACTGGCCAGTCAGCGTGAAATTTCAATCACACCTGGGACGGAAACTTTGTCCATTCGTACAGTTCGTTAGTCCCCTACGATGTCAAAAGCGATTAAATTGTAATCCCAATTTGATTTTTGGGATTGCTTTCTCAAAACGCAAGATAAATCTGGTCTTGCTTCTACTTGTGTCGGTGACCAAAAGCTTACATAACATAAACAAAAGCCTCAAATGTGCTCTAGAATGTGCTAACAAGATTGCTAGCCTGATTTCCAGTGGATTAAACTATGTCAGAGGCCACACTCAAAAATATACAAGCATACTCAGGATCGCTAAGCAAACCTTAATCTACTTCACTATCTTTCCTCAATCATTTTAATATGAAAAGTAGTACAGGGTGATTCAAAAAGATTGATCCGATTTCAAAGCGGCAATTTTTTTTCCAACAGTGAGGCGTCGAGGAACCAATTACAATCCAACTGAAAGAGGAGGTCATAGAGTTTCTGACTGGCTCCCTTCAGTCTGAGAGGAGATGAGACCCCTGAGCAGAAAGCGTTCTGCGTTCTCCACTTCAAGAAGAGTGAACTGTGCAGCGTGATTTTCGTGGGCAGTGAAGCTCCAGCAGCTCAGAGCATTCGGCGTTGGTTCCACAACACTGGATGATCTCCGAAATCGCACTGAAAGAGCCGTGAGTGCAGCGACACCCTACATGCTCAATCCAGTATGGGATGAGTTTGACTATGGTGTTGATGTTGTCTGTACAGCTGGAGGAGGTTCAGACTGAGACCTTGTACAATTACATAATAAACTTTATGCTCATTTAAACCATTTACAGTTTACTGCATTGATCTGTAATGATTTACAAGAGAAATCAATCATTTTGAAATCGGATCAATCTTTTTGAATCACCCTGTATTTACAAAAGTCAAGCTCCTGAACTTCTTGTGGTAACTCAGTTAAGTCTGATGTTGCCAGGTGAGTCCATGGCCTGCAGTTAGTGAGGGCACCAAAGCAGCGTTTCCTTTCTGGTCCCATCAATAAAACCTTGAGTGTTCTTTAAAAACTGCTAAACTAATTAGCTCCTGAATTGAAGCACTTCACTTAAGATTAGCATCTCAAAGTAGGCTCTCATGCTCAAACCCTCCCAAGCTAACAACATGACATCACATGACTTAGTATGTGCCATTTCAGGTTGGATTTGCTCTGAGATCGGATTCACTCTTTTATTGATTCCTCAAGCTGATCCAGCATTTTCCAATTTGCAAATGTTCAACTGGTAAAGCTCTCATTGAGTGGGAAGGATGGCTTTGGTGCACTCTTAAGGGCCCTCTTGAATGATCCTTTGTCAAACAGTACTAGCCAATCAATCTCCTCCAAGTGCATTCAAATTGAAGGACAGCCTGAAAAGGATGCATGATAGGCTACATGAGTCACTATCACTAAACCTAATCCTCACAGTACCAGACAGGATGATGTCATGAGACAGGAAGGGCCTAAATGGCTTGAGGGAACTGGCAATGGCTCACTAATTTCAGTAAAAATCCATCATGAAAGATAACTTTTCCCTCTAGACGTTACATCTGACTGACATCAAGGTCTGCCACAATGATTACATAATGGCCTCACTGCAGTTATTTAATTATTAATTTCTACAATTGTTAGCTTTCATAGTCAAACAAATAAGGACTGGGGATGTTTTTAATAAGGCGAATCTATGTAACAAAGCAGAAAACTCACATTATGAGTCTTAACTGATGCTACAACCCTGCATTCACACCAGCAGCGCCACAACGCGACATAGCGACCATAGCTCATTCATTTTCAATGAGAGCAGGTGATTTCCGGCGACAGGAGGCGGCGCAAATGTTGGTGATGCAAAGTGCGCGGAGTTGGCGACACTACAAAGTTGAGTTTAAATTCGTGCAAATAAGGAGTGCAGCGATGTGGCAATGGAATAGGAATTGAGCATTAAGCAGCGTAGTATGCGCTTTATCTCTGCCACTGTGAAACAGGTTCCTAGGTTCCTAGATAATTGTTCCTACTAGAGATGAAATAATGGCGGTTCTTGACAAACTGACTGCATGGACACAGAGATTAAATAAAAATAAGCACACAAGCGATTCCTCACCAGGATTTTTAATTTTAGCAGGAATGCATCTGATTTGTGCTTGGCATTAGTGAAACCATGGTAACCAATGGTCAGTTGGAGTTCAGAAACACCCACAGGCGATGAATGACCAGCGGTTTGGGCGAACAGGCGAAAAAGTCGCTGCCGGTGTGAATGCAGAGCAACATGTATAGTAAAGAAAGATGTTTGTTTACTTGAGCTCCAGGTGTTTCTGCTGTCAGACGGGAGGAAGCAAGACAGCTAATCAGCCAGTGTGGCTACTTTAGGCTTGTACTTTGGTAACTGCATATAGTGGAAAAAAGACTGTTAATCATCAGATAAATGTCATGATTTAGACTACTGAACTACTAGACTAGTGTTCCAACTACTTAGCCAGTACCAGAGTATTCCACCAAAACATCAAGCACTGTCTCCATCTACGAAGTCCTACAGTTCCTCCAACGCTTGTTTGGACAAAGCAATCGATGCCGGACTGAGTCATCCACTGAGTGCCTGCTTATATGTCGCTTTTGCATGTATAATTCAAAACCCGTCCAGTTTGTCTGGTTAGTGTCCCGGTTTATGAAAGTGTTTCCATTAAGCTGTGGTTTTAGATCACGCCGAGGACGAGATATCCGAGGCTGTCTTCATCACTCACTGTAACTATACACATCTGACAGGACTCTAAATCAAGAACTCGGAGAGGGAGATTATGTGGGAGCACAGCACTGCTAAACTACAGCTTATGCATTATAACGGAGGTAGCGTGCCTCGCCGAAGGATTTAATGTTGTAAAACATCACTTCGATTTGACTTGGGTTCATTTCATGAAACGCTCTTAAACTTTTTTTGCTCTTTCTTTCGGGCAGATGACACTTAGAGCGTTACGAAACCCCTGTGTAGACGAAGCAAGGTACTTAGAAGAGGCTCTTTGATGCCAAGTTGGGCTACCATGGGTAGCTACGGGCAGATGGTGCAACTTGTCAAACATCAAAGGTTTCACAGCACTTGGAGACTGGTTTAAAAAAAAATAAAAGATCTTACCAGAAACACTTCTCAAGCCCACACAGCTGAGATCAAGCAACTATTGTGAGAGTCTAAAATACGGAATACGACTTCAGAGCGAGACGTGACCAGGAAGCGCTCTTAGAAGCCTTTACCGTGTTTGACCAGGTGGTTCAGAGATGCTGATGTTAATCAACAATTTCATAAATACCTCCTAACGGTGCTTCTTAAAAAGAAAGACTTGGAAAGAATGAACAAAAAAAGAGGGGATTTCTTCAAAGCAGCTCAGCCAGCACTGCATTTTTGCTTTGCCTAATAGGACATGCATATAAAGTCACACATAACACTCTGCCGTGGGATTCGTAACATCTGGATAGGTAGGTAGGTCACTGCAGAGAAACTAGGGCATGCAGCTTGACTTGTTTAGAGTGCCACAATGCTATAGCACTCAGAGATTAGCATAGCTGGAGAGGATCTGTGGCGATAACGTGCACCTAAACTGATTGGGGCAGCCTTCTTTCTGAACTATTAATACTGTACAGTCTGGACAAAGCAAACCCGGCAACGGACCAGCGTTGGGACTGTCTAAAAATGCACCAACAAACAATAAGACAGACCCTCAAGTCTTAAATATAAAAGGCGCCTTGGAACGATGCCCTCGATCCAAAGTTGGCTCCCTAAACAACCTTTCAATGGTTAAAACCTCAGCTGAAAGGCTCAAAGGTTCACTTCCAAGGCATCGCTTCAAGGAACCCTTTCAGGCACCTGAGTTCGCTTGCACTCAATGGGCCCCGGCGCTGAGAGCATGCCATTATTATATTCCACAGTAAGCCAAGTAAGTAAGAAAGATACATCCAATGTACATTCACACTGTGTCCTTGGATTTCACGAATGAAAGTTGACATTTGTGTGGACAGGACTCGAGCTTAGATTGCAGCGGAAAATCTGTAGAAAGTAAAGCGAGTTCTGTACCGTATTATGGGTCTGTGTCTGTCCCACCAGGATCAGGATGTTGGAGCAGATGATGGAGAGGCAGAAGTTGATCAGAATGATCGATCTCTCTGACCTTATGTACCTGAAATGTAAAAAATAAACAAATTTCCATCAAAGATCTTCACATGGATACGAATTTCCAATGGGACCATTTTCCTCTTGACACCTGTTCCAAAATAGTTTTGATCCAACAGTTCTAGCATTGGCGTAGAGCCTTTACATTATCTGGAGATCCACTTAAAAAGCCAGGACCCACCAATAGGCCCCAGGTTTTATTACACACTTCTATAACCTAAGAATAGCTCAGTCAGTTTGCACTGAAGTCCATGTAGTTACTGAATAATAAGCCTTAGTATGTAATAAGCCTGAGATTTTAAGGGGTTGCACAGTTTTAGAACAGTTTATCTTCTAAAATCATGCACTGAAAGTATTTTTAGGCATCCAAAGTGCTTCTGGACTTCATTCCAAGAACTTACCTCCATAGTATAGCATACACCACTGCCAGGGTGATCAAGGCCAGGCAAGACAGGCCGCAGCCCACGATCAGCGTCACAGATGGAACCCCTGAGTACTCCATGGTCTGTGGAAGAGGCACAAGACGTTTTAGGCTTTGAAGCACCATAAAAGTCTGGTAATGAAGCATTTTACAGTGGGCTTGTAGTGATGGGTCATTTCCTGATATCTGGCACAGCGTCACTGACAGACGAGACCAGAATATCGCTGCTGTCGGAACAAAACCTTGCCTCTCCAAAATGGAGCTTTACAGAAGAACATTTCTTCCATTTCTTAACTTTGAATGGAAGTTAATGGAACCAGATTTCTTTGACATTAATCGTGGAGCTCTCCTATTGGTCCAATCATCACGAAACTTTAGTATGTGGTAGAGCTGGCCTTTTCAAATTCTGTAAAAAAGTATAAAAACGGTAAAAATGGACATACAAGGTTTTGTTCTATATCGACTTTTATGTTTGTTTCTTTTGGATGTGATGGTCTGAGCTGCTTCCACATGTGCCTACTGGATCTGTTCACTGTCAACTTAGCTTTGGAGCCTGGAAAGCTAAGCATGCAGAGTCTGAAATGACTCTGTGGGTCCATCTGGGCCAGGACTCTGAACCAGTCACTGGGATGGGACGGCTTGAGGCTTGTGGAGTCATTTCTCATTGAGAAACCAACTGGGAAGCTATATTCTCAGCAAAAAGGGTTCTATATAGTACCTAAAAAGGGTCTTGTAACAACCCCTTTTGGTGCTAGGCAGAACAATTTATTAAAAGAACCATATTCAACTGGTTTTCCCTCAGTAAGAAGAGCCTTTTAACCATGTGTAGAAATGGTCTGTTTCTCGGTTCTATACATAAACATTGCCTTTACTAAAGAACCCTTGAAGAGCCCCTTTTTTTAAAGGGTGCAGGATGGCATCCGAACCTCATGGAACCAATCGGTTTACTTACACTCACAAAAATAAAGGTTCTCAAATGGTTCTTGAAACCTGAAATTAGTATTCCTGAAATTAGTATTCAACCATTACGTGTTGAATGATTACTTGGGGAACCAAAAGTGGTTCTTTTACGGCATCTCTCCAAGAACCCTTCTAGACATTTTTAGTTTTAAGAGTGCTCTTAGCTAATGTGCAAGGCTATTTCCTTAGCAAAAAGCGTTCTATGTAGCACCTAAAAGGTGTCCTATGAGTTGTAACAACCTTTTTCGGTGCTATACAGATCAATTTTTTAAAAGAACCATATGCAACTGGTTTTCCTTCATTGAGAAGAGCCTTTCAGCATGGTTCTTTCAGTTGGTACGGTTCTAAACATAAACAGGATGCTGTTCAAACCTCACGAAACCAATCATTTTACTCGCACTCACAAAGATAAAGGTTCTTAAACGGTTCTTGGCATGGATGTTTTAGGAAAGGCCTGGAATTAGTATTCAACCTTTACATGGGTTGAAGGGTTACTTAGGGAACCAAAAGTGGTTCTTTTATGGCATCTCTCCAAGAACCCTTTCGGACACTTGTAGTTTTAAGAGTGCTCTTAGCTAATGTGTAGCATTTTTGCTGAGGGACCCAAAATCATTTCTGAATTTAAGGCCTCTGTGCTCTTCAGCAAAACCAGCCAATCAAGAATCACCCAGAGCTAGTAAGCAGCACATGATGTCAACAGGTAGAGAGGAATATCAACGATGGCTTAGACGTTTCTATCCATCATATTTCCCAGAGAGGCTGTTTACTCCACAGTTCCAACCCTGAGACCTAGGATGCACCGCACGTGTCATCAAATTTGGAAGCAGCGGCGCGGTGAAACTTTTACGAACGCGCTGATTGCAATTTGCCCGTTAATATGTCACAGCTATCTGGCATCTCGATTTGTGGCTTTGGAAGGTGTAGCGGCTCCCGCTCAGCGCCAAAGGCCTCAAAGCAACCTTCACCACTTTATCTCCCGCCCGCCTCGCCTTATTTACGGCTTTTTCCCAGAAAGGGTGCTCTCTCTACCTCCCTCTCCCTCTCTGGCTACTCCCAGGACTCACAAGTCATTGTGACATATCAGCTCTGCACTGCAATGATGGGACTTCTCAAACTTTTGGCCCTGCCCTGCGTAACCGAGACACAGCAAGCACTACTGCTTCATACAGGGGCGCCATCTGATCACATGACCACGTGAGAAAACACGTCTTTTTTTTTTTTTCCTCACAAGCCTCGACTGCCTCTAATCAATCTGTACTCAGGCTTTTACCCTGGACAAAACCCAGATACCCAGATATAAGCTCCTCATCCATCAGCCACATCTGCATTTGAGCTGCCTACACAACACATTGATTTTCTCCTGTGGTTTGTGATTCTGATGAAATGGGAGTGCAGGCTCTGTCTCTCACAGACACGTACACACACTCACACTCATAGGTAGACGAGCATCACAGCAGCCACATTTAGAGCCAGTGAACAACACAAAACGCAAGGATGCCACGTTAATGAAGCCACATTAAAGCCCCCAGCAGCAAAGCAGCCTCGGTACTTACTATTTCTCTAGGCTGTTGAGCCAAAATGGCGAAGGTAGACACGCGATCACATAAGCATTTTGTGTGGGATGCATCGGTGAGCACGGTTTTGCATCCTTTGGAGGACCAGGTTCCCCAGGAATCGTTCCTGCGAGGAAGAAGAGAGAGAGCAGATTAGACGTCTGGCTTGTCTGGTTCGCTAAAAAAAAATCCCCCCCAGAAACGACAACAGTGCGGTGGTCTAATCTACTCCTGCCTCGCCGGCGTGGAGGAGAGGAGAGCGAAGGCGAGGAGGGCTGAAAAGTCAGCGCTGCGGACGGGGCGGCAGCGGAGCTGTCCACGCCGGTGGTGCTGAAACGTCCAGTCCCTCCGTTACGCGCGTCCAACACGGCACCACTCACACGCAGACAAGAACAACAGAAAAGCCTCATTTACTCTTTCTTCTTCGCGATCCCGGCTCCTCTTCTTCCTCCTCCTCCTCCTCCTCCTCCTTCTCTCGCCCTTTCTCCTCTTTTCTCTCCCGCTTTTCTAATCAGCAGCTTTTTGGGCGCTTCCTGGGGGAAATTTCAGCCTGGAAACGGCGGACGGCATCAGATTGATACTGTTCCCTCTCGCTGGTGCGGGCGGAGGGGGGGGGGTTCGTTCGTGGTGGTGGTGGTGGTGAGGTGAGGGGGGGTTAGACTGCCGCTCACGACGCTCGAGAGGGAAAAAAACCCTCTATTCCGTATTTAATGTCGCTCCAACGCAACTCAGAGCTTATGGTGGACGCGAACGAGGCTGTGCTCGTTTTTCGGACGCGTACATGCGGACTGGACGGCGGGCAGAGGAGCGCGCCACCCCGCGAGAAGAGACTGGATGGTAGCTGCCCGTTTTCCTCTCGCTGGCAAGCAAAGGGAAGGAAAAACACACACACGTATCTGTTTCAGAGATGGCGCTGGGCGCAGGAGGAGCGGTCATTTAGGAAAGTTGGATGGTGCACCTTCACCTCCTTCACCTCCATCACCTCCTTCACCTCTGATTGGTCCTGAGGCAAATATTCAGATCAGATTCTGCTTAGTCTGCTTCATTCAGCCCTCCTGTTGCTAACCGACCTCCTCAACCTCCTCCTCATCTACTCCACACTGTTAGTAATGAAGGTTCTGTGCAGGTAAATTATACCTAATCAAGGTACAAACAGTGTAAATGTGCCCTCAAAGCTCCAACAGTGGTTTAAAGGTCTGATTGTGAACCTTAAATAAGTTTTTCCAGGTGAAAAGTTCGTATTTGTACCTTTTCATAACCGAATGTTTTAAAACAGATCAGTAAAATAAAAGCCTGGAGACGAGACGGGGTGTGTGGAGTCAGTACAGCTTAGAACATATCATTTCAGTGGATTATGGTTCAGTTATGTTCCCTGACTAAAGGTACTGAGATGGAGCCTTGAGGGAACCAGCCCAGTGACAGGAGGGGAACTGACCCAGTGACAGTTCAGTGCCTTTATTTCTGAGAGTGTGATGGAGACTTTATAACTGAACTCACAGATCTAGAATCAAATTACACCTACACATAATGTAAAAGTGCCAAAAGAGGTTCTTTGGTGCGAAGATTGGTTCTCTAAGGAACCTTTTGGTGCATGGTTATTTGAGGTAGCACCTTTGGAAATGACATGAAACCTTTTGAAGGTTTAGAGAGTCAGAAAATGGTTCTGCCAAAAGAATGAAGTGTTCAGTTTCCTGTGTTATTGAAATGAAGCGAGTTGTCAGATTTACTTCGTAAGGCCTTCTGTAGTCAGTGTTCACCCTTAATAAAGGGTTCCTTAGTAAAGGAATGGTTCTTTTAGAACCATTTCATGCTTCAAATGTCTTTGCATGGTGAAGTGGCTCTTCAGTGCTGTATGTGGTTCTATAAAGCACCAAAAAAGGTTCTTCTACTGTTACAAGCTTCACATTATAATAGAAAAAAACCCATTATGGTTCTACACAGAACCCTTTTCAAGAAGGTTCCATATAGAAGCATATACAACACATTGTCCATCAAGGCAAGGAACCATTTCACCATGCTATGAAATATTAAAACATGAAATGGTCCTATGTAGAACTTGGTGCTTGTTTGGTCAGTGTTCACCCTTAAAAAAGATGGTTCTTCAAGGGTTCTTTAGTAAAAGGAATGGTTCTGTTTAAAACCATGAAAACAATTGCATGCTTCAATCTTCTTTGCATGGTGAAGTGGTTCTTCAGTGTTGTATGTGGTTCTTTAAAGCACCAAAAGCAGTTCTGCTATTGTCACAAGCTTGACATCATATCCCTCTTTAAGGGTTCTTTGGTAAAGGGAATGGTTCTGTTTAGAACCATGAGTTCTACATAGAAAATTTTCATGCTTCTATCTTCTTAGCATGGTTTGGTGGTTCGTCAGTGTTGCATGTGGTTCTAAAGAGCTCTGCTATTGTTACAAGCTTGACATCATATGGAACCCTTTTCAAAAAGGTTCCATACTGAACCATATACAGCACATTCTCCATCGATCTGAAGAACCATTTATCACTTCTGATGGTTCTGAGCAGTACATACTGTTTTGTTTCAGCCCACCAAGAGCACATCTGGTCTGGGTTTTTGTGGGCTAAATTTGGCAAAGTTTGGGCACCCTGGTCAGCTCCAGTTAAAGGTTCCTAGAACCGTACGTCCAAGACAAGAACCATTTAGGAGTCTTTATTTTCAAGAAGGTGAATGTAAAGCTGGTCACCAGCACAGAAAACAGGAGCTGGTATTGATTTCCACAGCACAGTTTTCACCACATCTCAGACGTGCTCTCTACAGTGGGCGTGGATGTGGGCTTCACTGCTGCTGCTCCAACACTAAACACTTGAGCTCCCAGTGGAGGAACTGGTTTTCAGCCTGTAATAGAACCGACTGGAGACTGATGATCATAATTAATGTGCCTTAATTAAGAACCTCTACAACACGTGGCTATTTGCACATGTCTGCTGTCACACTCCATCTCCAAGACCGGCTAATGGTGCAGCTAGAAAGTGCCATGGACACTGAATTCCAGTCTAGCAGCCGTAATGTCCACTCTTAGACAATAAAGGTGCCAAAGAGGGCAGGTTAGAGCGTTCTCCACTCAAAGTTACCAAAAGAAGCTGGAAGAACCATCCAAACTAAACTGCACTCTTAGAGAAGATGGTTTTTCAAAGTCTTTAGTAAAGGAAATGGTTCTATATAGAAGCATGAACACTCAAAGAACCCTTTGTATGCTTAAATGGTTCCTTGCATGGTGAAATGGTTCTTCAGACTGATAGAGAATGTGCTACAGATGCCTCTATATAGAACTTTCTTGAAAAGGGTTCTATAGCACAAAACGTGTTCTGCTATTGTCATGATGTCAAGCTTGTAACAACAGTAGAACCCTTTTTGGTGCTTTAAAAGCCTTTCAAAATGGTGCTGTAGATGGCTCTGTATAGAACCTTTCTGATAGGGGTTCTCTAGCACCAAAAAGAGGTCTGCTATTATTACAATGTCAGGCTTGTAACAATAGAAAACCCCTTTTGGGTGTGTTAGAACCCTTTTCAAAAAGGTACTATATAGACCCATCTAAAGCACCATTTTGAAAAGGGTTCTATAGCTCCAAAAAGAGGTCTGCTGTTATTGTGATGTCAGGCTCGTAACAATAGAACACTTTTTGATGAATTAGAACCATTTTCACAGAGGTGCTGTAGATGGCTCTGTATAGAACCTTTTTGATAGGGGTTCTCTAGCACCAAAAAGAGTTCTGTTATTGTTATGATGTCAATCTTGTAACAATAGAATCCTTTTTGGTGCGTTAGAACCCTTTTTTCAAAGAGGTGCTGTAGATTGCTATATATATAACCTTCTTGAAAAGGGTTCTAACGCACCATAAAGTGTTCTGCTATTGTTATGATGTCAAGCTTGTAACAACAGAAGAACCCTTTTTAGTGTGTTAGAACCTTTTTCAAAGAAGCACTGTAGATGGCTCTACATAGAACCTTTTTGAAAAGGGTTCCATAGCAGGAGAAACAGTTCTCCTATTGTTATGATGTCAAGCTTGTAACAACAGAAGAACCCTTTTTGGTGCTTTAGAACCCTTTTCAAAAAAGGTTCTATATAGACCCATCTACAACACCATTTTGAAAAGGGTTCAATAGCACAAAAAGTGTTCTGCTATTGTTATGAAGTCAAGCTTGTTACAACAGAAGAACCCTTTTCTCCATCATGATGCAAAGAACCCTTTAATCATATACAAGGTTCTCTGAGTGTTCATGGTTCTCTAAGTCATCACCAGAGCATATATTCCAACAGGCTGGACAGAAAGTCCAGTGAAGACAGCGAGTCAGCGGAACCTCTTTGAAAGACTTCACTCAATGTGCGGTCAATTTGTTTAATTATTGACCAGCCTTGGTAGCCATACAGCCATAGAGGGGGGGGAGACTCTACAGCGATGCCACCAAATCTCAAAAGCCATCTATACTCACCTTTTGGTTCCCTGAAGAACCTTTCAAGGCGATGGTCCATCACAGAACCCGTGTTTGTCAGTGAGAGAATGTGACTGTAAAGACTACGTTTTCGAGAACCTCCACACAATCACACCAGTTGAAGCTTTCTTCTACACCTGCACATCCGAGCCAAGAACAATTGAGGAACCTTTGTTTTTCAACCTTTATGACATTTAAAGGTCAAAGCAAGGTCAGGTCTGCCTTCTTTCCTCACCCTATTTCTCTTTAAAAGCTTCCTCCCTCGAGCCGGACAGCCTGTATCTCAGTGGACGTCCTGCTCCCTGCGTCGCCTTGTTGAAATATTTGGCGCTGTCCTCGTGGGTGACGCACACGCGCCAACTCGCCAGTGTGTCCTCAGCCTGCTCGCGCCGAGAGCTGGGACAGGAGGGGGGGGGGTGGGGGAGTGGGGTGGTCAGCGGCGTGCGGATGCTTCAAAAAAACCCTAGAGGCTAGTCCGCCCACACCGAGGCCCGTCCACCCACGCAGAGAGCAGCACGCCCACGGTGCAGATGGGAGCAAAAAAACGAACAACATTACGGAAAAAAAGGATCCACATTACGAAAAAAGGATCCTTTACGCCTAAAGATCTTCCACATTAGTGCTAAAACCTCAAGCACCCTGTGCTCTGATGAGGCCAAAGGTTAGCATTTTAAAAGCTACAG